GTGGATATTTTAGTAAGTTACCAGTAACTTTTTTGATATGATACTTACTTGATGTGTGGATATTTTAGTAAGTTACCAGTAACTTTTTTGATATGATACTTACTTGATGGTAGAGGCTGTAAGGAAATCCTTTGTGGGGAATTACAGATTCGATGTCTGGGTTCAGTGGCTACACTGGGGTGGGAGGGGGGGATAGACCCACTGTGCCCCCCGCCTCCTTCCCAACAAGCATATCATAAATGGTGACTAATTTAAAGGGCTTCTTTTAAAGCCTGAAAGGCGAGGAACTAAGAGTCTAGAAAGAAATAAGGCAGATCTGTAACATGGATGTGTGTGCAAGGAACTCAAGTTCTGGGACTAGCCCAGGGACTAGAAGTGGACAGACAAGCAGAACTTTCTGCCAGAGTTTACAGCCAGGGAACATTAAGAAGAAGAATTACATATGGTGGGTAGAAGATTTCAGGGTTAGTCTCTGCTTTAATTTAAAGACATGTTGCAAGCGGGACATGATGCATAGTTGGATTGCTAGGAATAGGGTGCCATAGACTGCATGGCTTGGACATGTAAAGTTAGAAACGGAATAGGGGCAAAGGATAAAGTGATTGAAGACAGGCTGCAAGCTGAGAGTATGTGAAGAAACAAATTAAATACATGTGAAGACAACAGTGATAATGAAATCCTTTTTTGTGTATGCCTGGTCAGGTAAGGCATCACGTGTTAGTCAGTTAGCTATATTTTAAATTGGGTATGTTACGGCTGATGTGAAAGTGTATTTAATTGATTTAAAAGCTCATTGGATTGAAGTTTGCGAGAGACTGATATTTGTTACAAGTTGAAACGAATGACCTGAAAGTCATGTGTGACCTTGAACTTGATTTGATTAACATGACAGTTGATATTTGATTGATGACAAATTTTATATGATTGTATGGTTGATGTCAAACGTGATTTAAGATTGATGCAAAGTTTCTTCTGTTGTTGTTCTTTTTTTTTTTTTCATCTTCTTCTTCTTCTTGTTTCTCCTCCTCCACCTCCGCCGCCTCCTCCTCCTCCTCTTCTTTTTCTACTTCTACTCCTACTTCTTCTTCTGTTTTCTTATTTGCAGATATAAAAAAAAAAAAATCAACACCAAACGAGATTAATCAATTATTTGAATGTTATTGATTCCAGGATATCAAACAGCTAGCCAGTGCTTTGAGTTCAGTGAAACTTTCGGAGAATTCTCTCATTCGCATCCTGTGGCCCAAAGAAAAGTGTCGGCTGCTGAGGGAGGATGTAATATTGGTGGATAGTCCTGGTATCGACGTCACACCAGATCTCGACCTCTGGATCGACAAGTTTTGCCTCGATGCTGATGTCTTTGTGCTGGTTGCGAATGCAGAGTCCACTTTGATGCAGACAGTATGTAACTTGTATGTTAATTGTTGTTAAGTTCTACACTGCGTTGTGAATTCAAGCCATGTATTGTGTTGTATGGAGGGGAAAATCAAGATGGGGATAGGGAAAAGAAGAAAAGGATTCTTCTCCTTCTGTCTTCTATCCTCAACGAACTCATGTCAAGTTATCCTCCATTGCGTTTCCCCCCCCCCCCCCTTTTTTTTTTTAAAACTTCAATCTCAAACTCCCTTCTCTGTACTTTGTGTGTGTGTATGGGTCTGCCTTTATTCTATGCCCCTGTGGGTTCCGGTGCAAAGACATTCTATTTATATTCTTCTTACCTTTTCCTAACGTGTGTCCTATCCAATTCCAACATATTTTCTTCCCCTCTTGGTTCCCTGGAACTTCTTTAGTTCTCTCTTATAGCTCAACATTATTGATTCTATCATACGGTGAGAAAATGATTGCAGGTAGATTATAGAGGTAGAGAGAGACTGGGTGAGAAGATGCTAACAGTTTGACTTCATGGCAAGGAAAATCATCAGAATCAGATGTGATTGAAAGTACTGAAGACAGAAGGTGGTGAATAGACATGACTGCTGATCATCTGAGGATGATGCTAAATACCTATAATGGCAACAGTGGTCCTGAAATCTCAGCGAAGACTTCTTAATGCAAGCAGGTCTAACTAGTTTCACTCACCATCTTTAGTGCCTCCCTTTAGCATAAAATAACATGATCTCTGGAAAGACTGAAAGGGCCAACTGTGTTCACTGTTGCAAATAAGATGTTCCTTGTTCTGTTGAGTGAACAGATAGAACATAACATCTCTTTGTGACATAATATGTTGTTACAGGGACAACAAGTATTGACGCTTTAGTGACAGATACACTCTTTGTGTCGGGTTTGAAGATAAAGATGATTGATAAGCTGGGTCAGAGCCTTGTTGGAATGCAGAGGCACAAATTGATCATTATGGTCTGGAGAGAATGGTACAGCAGGGGATCTGGTCAACACTCTACACTCAGGGAAAAGAAAAAAACAGACAGATAAATCAAACTGCTGCTGACACTATTAGGACAGAGCACTTATATGAATTTCCCAAGTGCTGTGATGTTAGTGCCCAACTTGGCAGTAACTCCTTGCTGAAGACTTTGGCAGATATACAGATATAATTAGTATTCTTTTACGATATACTTTAGGGACAGTGGGTTTGTTCTTTCTTCGTCCAGAATGGGGCTGCAGTACTCACTTGGAGATATCAGACATTCTTGTTGTTTGAATGAACTTTGACAGACATAATCACAGAGAGACAAATGCAGAAGCATGTTTATGCTGTCATGACACAGGGGTTAAGTTGTGTTTTTTGTTGTTGTTGCTGTGTACCTTTCCACACAACACTTTGGAGAGGGTACTAGCCTTATCCTAGGATGAGTAAATACAGTAGGAAAACTTAACGTTAGGGCAGGGCAGATCGAGCGATTGTCTTGGTTGGCAATTTTTCTAGGAGGGGAGCTCTGACAGGCAGGCAGATATTGCACTACTGTTCCAGTCTGGCAGATTGTGGAGTATTCTTTGTTCTAAATGTTTTGGTGTTACCTTCTCTTCGAGTTAACAAAGCTCCCCCAGAGAGGGGTCATTTATCATGGGCAACATATGGTCTGTACAACACTGCCCAAGCTTTGTGCTGTGGGTAAGAGGAACTTCATTCCCTGACCATAACTGGTAATGCCATGGGTGTAACTCCCATGCCCACCTATGGCACAGTGGAACACTTGTCACCAGGAAACACAGAAAGGTGAAAATTCCTAAAAACATATTTCCATCTGGAACTCATCTTGATTTCTTGGTATGTCACCAGGAGAAGAACTTCTTCCACAAAGTCAGTTCCCGCCTGTCCCAGCCCAATGTGTTTGTGCTGCAGAACCGATGGGATGTGTCAGAGATGGAAGAGGACATTGACCAGGTCAGTAGCTTTATGTCTTGTGCTCGCTCATATTCATTGTTTAAGGTTACATTACTTGCTCAAGCCACTGTTTTTTCTGTCATCTGTTCTTTTTTCTTCTTTTTCTTTTTGTCTTTCCCTTTTCTTCTGTTCCTTCGTAAAGTACTTTTTTCTTTCTTTCTTTCTTTCTTTCTTTCTTTCTTTCTTTCTTTCTTTCTTTCTTTCTTTCTTTCTTTCTTTCTTTCTTTCTTCTTTCTTTCTTTCTCTTCTTTCTTTCTTTTCTTTCTTGTCTTTCTTTCTTTCTTTCTTTTTTTTCTTTCTTCTTTCTTTTTTCTTTCTTTTCTTTCTTTCTTTCTTTCTTTCTTTCTTTCTTTCTTTCTTTCTTTCTTTCTTTCTTTCTTTTTTCTTTCTTTCTTTCTTTCTTTCTTTCTTTCTTTCTTTCTTTCTTTCTTTCTTTCTTCTATTTTCTTGTTTTCTTCTTTCTTTTATGTTTTTTCCTCGCCAAGTCTCTCTCTCTCTCTCTTTTACTTTCTCTGTCTGTTTGTCCCTCTCTATCTCTCTCCCTTCTCTCATTTTCTGTCTGCTTCTATTTCCATTTCTTTCTCTTTCTTTCAATGCCCAAAAGATGGTACACACATGGTTTTTTCTGTTTTTGTTAGCATGGTAACTTGTGTGTAACTTGTTTGACAAGTCATGTTGCCTCTTTCATCTGCCAGGTCAAGCAGCAGCACATCGACAGAAATACTGCTTTCTTGGCCGACGAGCTCAAGGTCACAGACAGGAAGGCAGCCAAGGACAGAGTGTTCTTTGTTTCGGCCCGGGAAGCCCTGGCTTCTAGGTTAAGCTGTGACAAGGGTATAGCTACTCCAGGTATGTCAGGCTGTTCATTGTTTATGTCAGGTTGTTCATTGTTTATGTCAGGTTGTTCATTGTTTATGTCAGGTTATTCATTGTTTATGTCAGGTTGTTCATTGTTTATGTCAGGTTGTTCATTGTTTGTGTCAGGTTGTTCATTGTTTGTGTCAGGTTGTTCATTGTTTATGTCAGGTTGTTCATTGTTTGTGTCAGGTTGTTCATTGTTTGTGTCAGGTTGTTCATTGTTTGTGTCAGGTTGTTTCATTGTTTGTGTCAGGTTGTTCATTGTTTGTGTCAGGTTGTTCATTGTTTGTGTCAGGTTGTGTTCATTGTTTGTGTCAGGTTGTTCATTGTTTGTGTCAGGTTGTTCATTGTTTATGTCAGGTTGTTCATTGTTTGTGTCAGGTTGTTCATTGTTTGTGTCAGGTTGTTCATTGTTTGTGTCAGGTTGTTCATTGTTTGTGTCAGGTTGTTCATTGTTTGTGTCAGGTTGTTCATTGTTTATGTCAGGTTGTTCATTGTTTATGTCAGGTTGTTCATTGTTTATGTCAGGTTGTTCATTGTTTGTGTCAGGTTGTTCATTGTTTGTGTCAGGTTGTTCATTGTTTATGTCAGGTTGTTCATTGTTTGTGTCAGGTTGTTCATTGTTTATGTCAGGTTGTTCATTGTTTATGTCAGGTTGTTCATTGTTTGTGTCAGGTTGTTCATTGTTTATGTCAGGTTGTTCATTGTTTATGTCAGGTTGTTCATTGTTTGTGTCAGGTTGTTCATTGTTTCTGTCAGGTTGTTCATTGTTTGTGACAGATCGTTCATTGTTTGTGTCAGGTTGTTCATTGTTTGTGTCAGGTTGTTCATTGTCTATGTCAGGTTGTTCATTGTTTATGTCAGGCTGTTTATTGTTTATGTCAGGCTGTTGGTTGTTTCTGTCTTCTTCTTCTTCATGTTCACTGCTGGAGAGATCTGGTTGTTCGTCCTATTCTAGACTCTAGTCCTGTTCCAGAAACTGAGTGTTGCATGCACATCCGTTTATCAGGCAGCAGAAAAATTTTACTGAATGGATGAGCAACGGAAACAGACATCTACCAGAACTTGATGGATTGACTGAATGACCAGCTGAAGCAACACTAGTAGACTAGATTTACCCAAAGTGGCAAGATATATGACTCTGAAGTTGTTAATATATTGTTAACTGATGGAACAGTGTGAGACAGGGACAGGCTGAGAAAAAAAAAAAAGTTCCTGTGTTCTTGAAACTTTTTTTACACTGAAGTCTTTTCTTCATCTTAGTATTCACCAACGAAGATCTGGCTGTTTTTCCACTTTTGGGCTTTAGTCTTCCTCCAGAACTTGAGTTTTGTATGCACATCTATTTTTTTTACAGATCAGGCTTACTTGTGTGCAGACTGTTGGTGCCTGGCCTCTCAGGCAGATGCACGCTGACTTGGAAGAAAACCCCCAATTATCTCCCCTTTACAGCATGCTTTTTTACTTAGGAAGTTGGTCTATTCTTTTTTCCCTGCAAAGTGGGACCCTGGATCCCACATGAAGAACATCTGAATGGAAAAAAAAAATGAGAAAAAGAAGCATGTACAATATTTTGACCACATTGACATAACACACTTAAAAAACCCAGATTAGGAGAAGTTCAAGGCAGGAAAGTGAGAGATGGGTGAACAAATGTAATAGAGTGGTGGGGAAGGGAATAACCAGTACTTGGCTAAACAGTAATCTTAGCGATGGTTGAACCAAGATGGGAGACAATATGCGTTGAAGATCCATTACAGCCAACTTTCATTATGAAAATTCATCTTAGTAATTGATGGATATTATGACATTACCACACTGATCATTTTGCTAGTTTCTCATATTTTAACTTGAGAGTTGTTTTCCCTCACAGAGAGAGTTCTCCTTCCTGGGTTCCAAGCCAGACTTTTCGAATTTGCCAACTTTGAGAAAGAGTTTGAGGCAAGTATTTACAATGGTCAGCCTTCCTGGCATAATAAATGCCTGGTGCTGATTTTCTAACTAAGAAATTGATGATTGTCATATAGCAAGTCCTGTATTTAACATTGGTTTTCTGATTCAGTATCAAAATATTTTTAACATTGAAGAGAAAACAGAGGCAGACTTTAAATCAGGTTCCAGCTGGTACTATTAGCATGTTAGCCTTCGTTGATTACTGAAGAAGGAGATAGAGCACTTGTGGGAATGTCCCGAGTGCAATGATGTCAGTTCTTGATTCACTCATTTATTCATTCAAACATTGCTCTTATCACAGGTTGAAAGACTGTTGTTCCTTCACTCTCTCTACCCACGTTCTCATGCATATTCCTTCCTAATTTCCTGTTTCTACCACCTTGTTTCATCTTTCCATAATGTTCTGTCTGCATCGCTATTACCTTTGATGCAATCAAAATATTTCAGTGTCTGAGGCAGGATGCTGGTTACAAACTACTTTTCTTCCATGCTAATTTCTTCTAAAACAACAGAATGTTTTTTTTTTTTGTTATGTTAATGTTTGGAACAACAGATCAACATCATGGCACACGGGTGTAACCCATAAGTGCTCTGTTCTTCTAACTCAAGTCTGAGTCTGAAGAAGCTCAGCACAGTGCACAGGCTCTGTAGCACCGGTGAGGATCATGAAATTCTTTAGGATGATTTTTAACTCCAAATTTTGCCCGGGCATTGCCGTTAGGCTATTCTTTACGACTTCCAACTGCCAAGGACTTTTTTTTTTACGTGTGCAAAAATGCACACTGGCGTCTGATCTCACTACCCAGAGACCAGGGGGAATTACTAGAAGTCCAAGTCCATATGAAAAGAATCTCAGCCCTTACCAGGGATTGAAACTGGATCCTCTATCACTCGAGGCGGACACCCTGCCTCAAGACCACGCAGCACCCCTTGTTTTGTTTATGGCCCATGCTAACCTAAGTATTTATTTTCGGTGAAATTAAAGTTAGATTGCCAAAGAACTATCAGGTCAATGCCTGCATGAGATAGAATGAATACTCAATATTGTCCTGTGTTACTTTTGCTTCTTCTTCTTTTCTATAATGCTAGAATGCCTCTTGGCATCAGGGAAGGAAGTAATCTAAGGATTGGGTCTTTCTGTGCACTTCCTATAAAGTACTTTTCAGTGTCACTGATATTTCTGCGGTCCATATTCTGCGTGGTCATTCTCTCGCTCTGTTACCGCTGTATCTGTATAACATTGCTCTCTGTGGTGCCCTGTCTGATGCCGGTCTTGTTACATGGCCAAACCATTTGATTTGTTGTCTACCTATAAAGTTCATTATTGGTTCTGTGCCGATTCTTCTCTTGATAAAATCTTTCCTAAATTGATCTTACCTCGTTACACCTAGCATAGTACGTTAACATTTCATTTCTGTCATGACTGTTTTCCTTGTGTCTTATGAGGACAGAAGTTGGAGCATTTCAAAGTTGGAGCCATTTGGCCTAAAACTTGATTGGCTTTATTGCATCTCCTCTGTTGCAAACTATTAATTATTGCTGTATATATATCAGTAAATGACAACTATACATGGCAGAATGTACCAGAAAATTGTCTGCTATATGTGGCTAAATGTACCAGTAAACTGTCTGCTATATGTGGCTGAATGTATCAGTAAACTGTGCTATATGTGACTGAATGTACCAGTAAACTGTCTGCTATATGTGGCTGAAAGTACCAGTAAACTGTCTGCTGTGTGTGGCTGAATATACCAGTAATACCAGTAAACTGTCTGCTATATGTGGCTGAATGTATCAGTAAACTGTGCTATATGTGACTGAATGTACCAGTAAACTGTCTGCTATATGTGGCTGAATGTATCAGTAAACTGTCTGCTATATGTGGCTGAATGTATCAGTAAACTGTGCTATATGTGACTGAATGTACCAGTAAATTGTCTGCTAAATGTGGCTGAATGTACCAGTAAACTGTCTGCTATATGTGACTGAATGTACCAGTAAACTGTCTGCTATATGTGGCTGAAAGTACCAGTAAACTGTCTGCTGTGTGTGGCTGAATATACCAGTAATACCAGTAAACTGTCTGCTATATGTGGCTGAATGTACCAGTAAACTGTCTGCTATATGTGGCTGAATGTACCAGTAAACTGACTGCTATATGTGGCTGAATGTACCAGTAAACTGTCCGCTATATGTGGCTGAATATACCAATAAGCAGTTGACATTTTGTTGGCGTATGCTGTTTGTAAACTCTCTGTCATTTGTTTTTTAATATGACATTTGTGAAAATTACTAATATTAGTGTTTTAAAAAAAACTTGCTTGATCACAGGGAAGTGCATGAAATATGAACTGTTGTAAGAACACTCCTTCAGTCTGCCCCATGGCCTGAGAGTGAATGCATAGCCATCAATTTTTAAATGTGTGGGCATGTCTGTTTGAAGAGTTAAATGTATATTCTCACTCCTAAGCTGTTTCCTTGCAGATGTGCATCTCTCACTCGGCAGTAAAGACCAAGTTTGAGCAGCACACCAAGAGAGCACACCTCATTAACTCAGAGTTGAGATCTGTTATGGAGGAGGCATACACAAAAAGTCTGACTCTACAGTAAGTTTTACCTCCTGACATCTTTTGAGTGTCGAGCTAAGAATTGACATCTCAGCACTCTGGACATTTCCATAAGTGCTTTGATCTCATCTTCAGCACCCAGCAAAGAGTTCGAAAGCTGACGTTACCAGCAGCAGTCAGATAATAGCAGTTCTCGAAGTGGGTGCCGCGAGCATATGCCAGGTGTACCGCGGCAATAATCATGAATTTTTCAAAATCGGAGATCAGCGAAGATAGTAGTTTAAAACAGAAATACCATGAAGGAAGCAGAGGAGAGTTCTGGATGCTTACATTGAAAAACAGGTGCAGGAGCAACTGTCGAGTGATTTGATGGTACAATTAACCATTCTTCCTAAAACATAAAGGAAATAATGAAAAAAATCATCCAAACAGTTACGCTCATCGCATTAAAGACAACTGAACATTATTTTGCAGGTTTTTTCTTCTTTTCCTAAGTATTCAAATTGCTTAAAAGTTAGATGTGCCGCAATTTGTGTGTGTGTGTGGGTGGGGGGTAGGGGTGCTGACAAGGGGGGCAGCCGCGAATAAAGTTTGAAAAACGCTGATCTAACCTATGTACTCGACCAGTAGTTTACACTATCTAAGACCTCCGGACTCCTCTTTATTATTGAAGTGTCGGTTGCTGACCCTATACTTTTTAACAGTGATAATGAAGAATGACTTGTCATCAATCAGCAGATCGCTTACAGTACGTTACTCTCATCACTGAACGCCTGAAAGTCTCCCTTTCTCTAGCCAGTTCTCCAGCCTTATGTGCTTTCATAGCTAGAGCATCTTCTTCTTCGTCTGTGGTCTCACTGTTGCGAGGTTGTAGCCCTTAAAAATCTTATAAATTACAATAACCATGTCATAGAAATTACAATAACCATGACATAGAAATTACAATAACCATGACATAGAAATTACAATAACCATGTCATAGAAATTACAATAACCATGACATAGAAATTACAATAACCATGACATAGAAATTATAATAACCATGACATAGAAATTACAATAACCATGACATAGAAATTACAATAACCATGCCATTGTCTTGTAACCTGTCAGTATTGCTAAGGATGTCAAGAGTGTTAAGCACATAACATCACGGTGCAGACAAACATAGTGACATCATAATGATACTTTAAAGATAGCCGCCCAATTTTTGACATGCAACAGAGAGGAGCAGCCAGAAATTTTCCTGCTGCTTCTGAGTTTACAGCAGGTGAACACGAAGAAGCAGAAGGAAACGATTTTTATAAGATTTTGATCTTTGTTAGTTCTATGCCTGACCCCTTTTCCCTCAGATGGTATTTTTATTTACTGCATTCAAATCCTGCCTATCAAACACCGTGCAGCCACACATAGAGCCAGTAGAATTTAACTACACTTCTCGAAAACAGGTCGTGGCAGTATATCCGAATTTACAGGACTGTGTCACAACTGAAAGTGACATGTCCTTCTTAAGGTGACATCCTTTATTGTAATCTTCTGGAACATATGGTAAATTTTTCTTTCTTTTCCTACAAAATGGGTCCCCCCCGGAACCCATAAAAAATGGATTATTTATGATTCTGTTACTGAGAATTAATCATCATTGGGTTGCAAGTCCTGTGTATAGCGTAGTTCTTACTACAGGCTGGTTGAAAAGACTCTTGATCCTTCAACCTGTTCCACTTCCTGGCGCAGTTTCATTTCTAAAGTAATGTCCTGGTAACATGTCCTGGTAACTTGTCCTGGTAACATGTCCTGGTAACTTGTCCTGGTAACTTGTCCTGGTAACTTGTCCTGGTAACTTGTCCTGGTAACATGTCTTGGTAGCATGTCCTGGTAACATGTCCTAGTAACATGTCCTAATAACATGTAACATGTCCTAGTAACATGCCCTGTAACCCTTTTGGGGAAAGAAACATCTTATTTTTGTTCTGCTAGTGGTTTTCAGATGAAAGAGTGTCAGATGAACAAGAAGTAAAAACTATACATGAGGGAGATGAATGGTCATAGACCACGAGGCAGACCAAAAAAGACGATAGAGATAAAATCCACACAGATTTGCAAACACTTGGTGTCACCAACTGGAAAGAGAAGGCCAACCAGATGAATGGAGGCAGGTGATATCTGCAGCAGTGAACCTGAAGGGCTCGGAATGCTGAAGAAGAAGAAGATGAAGAAGTGGTTTGCAGATAAGAAGGTCACAGACCTCTGTGCAGTCTTTTTTGTGTGTAACATATGTCTTTTGATTTTCCAACAGCTTGGTTTCCAGGGGAATGCCAACCGGCCAAATCTGGGATCTCTCTGCTGCATGTAGACAGCAGGACTGTAGCAAATGTTCATTGTTCTGTGGTGTCTGTGTGTAACCTCTGATTTGTGACATGTAAAGATGACTCAGTAATTTCCTGTTTCAGAGATGACCAACAACAGCTTCGCAGAGAAAAGTCCGAGAGGTTGAATAAGTTGGATAAAGAGTTGGATATGTTGACTGCTGATGTGAAGAAGAAGATCCGAGCAATGGTAGAGGATGTGGAAAGAAAGGTAACTCCAGCTTCCTCTTCTTTTCTTCCTACAGTTACCTCATTAATGTTTTTGGGGAGATGCAAGGATCTCTATGTTGTTTCTGTCATGTTTTATATCCTCATTTCTGTAAGGCTCTTCTTGATGCCGTTGTTCCATATTTTGCGTGGTTTTCCTATTGCTCTGTATTTATTATGATATTTTTTCATTTCATTATGGCTCTCTTTGGCAGTTGGTACCAGGGCATTCTTAGATGACCAAACCATCTCATCTGTTGCTCTTTACTATACGCTTAATTTCACTTCTAGTCTAGTCTGTTTTCTTCATTTTTAATTATCTCTCTTCATGTAACTCCAGCAGCTCTTCTGAAACATATATCTTATCTCTGCTGCTATCATTTTCCACTCATTAGTTATACTGGGCTCGGTGTGACCCTTGATTTCTTGAAAATCCCTTGAAAATCATCTTGCTCTTTCAAAGCCTCAAAAAGACCTGGAAACATTCAATAAATGTCCTTGAAGTTTTATCATCAGTAACCTTGGAAAAAAAAATCTCATCTCTGCTGTTATAATTTTCCACTCATTAGTTGAAGTAAAGGTGTCTGTAGTAAAGGTCCCTGTAGTAAAGGTCCCTGTAGTAAAGGTCCCCGTAGTAAAGGTCCCCGTAGTAAAGGTCTCCGTAGTAAAGGTCTCCGTAGTAAAGGTCCCCGTAGTAAAGGTCCCCGTAGTAAAGGTCGCTGTAGTAAAGGTCCCTGTTTAACACGTAGCTTGAAGTCTGAGAAGGGCTGTGGGAGTGATCAGAGAAGATCAAATCAGGAATGAGGTCGCAAGAGAAAGAAAAAAAAGGGCACAGAACCAATTTTAAATTACCTCTAAACACAGCAAATTAAATGGTTTGCCCACTTGGAGTAAATGACTTGTGACACCATACCATGCAAGTTACACACCAAAAGGGGGCAAGGATGTAGAGCTCAAGGTAGACCAAGAACAAGATGCAAAGATAGCATCAGAGAAATTCTCCAAAAGTACGATGTGTCTTGCTGAGAGAAGAACGGAAGGCAAAACCTTATATCTCTCGTGACACCCGAAGTGGTAGAAGAAGAAGAAGAAGTTTGCCAAAAAATAGTTCTTATCAGATTTGCCAGTGGATGTTCTGGAAAACTGAATGTGCCTGATGTCTAAATAAAATGATGTGCTTGCCCACCCTCAGGTTTCTGCGGCCCTCAACGACGAGATCAGAAGATTGTCATTGTTAGTGGAGGAGTTTGAGAGACCCTTCCATCCAGATCCAGTGTTTCTCAGCAGTTACAAGAAGGTGAGCCAGACAGTGGTTTGGTATGTTTGTAGCTGTTGATTATAAATAGGTGTTGAAGTGTGTGTGTAGTTGCTGAAGTGTGTATGTTTGTGGGGGTGTAGTTGCTAAAGTGTGTGGGGGGGGGGGGGGGGGGTTATAGTTGTTGATTTATGTATGTGTATGTGGATGTAGTTGCTAAAATGTGTGGCGTGGGGGTATTGATGAATTATGTATGTGTGTGTGTGGATGTAGTTGCTAAAGTGTGTGTTTATGGGAGGCGATGGGGGGGGGGGGGGGGAGTAGTAGCTGAAGTGTATATATATGTATTGAGTACAGTTGCTGAAGAGTATGTGTAGGAGTAAAGTTGCTGCAAAATTGTGTGTGTGTGTATGGGTATAGTTGCTGAAGCATGTGTATGTGTGTGTATCTTTTGGGAGACTGATTCTGAGCATGTGTATGTCTGTACTGGGAAAAGGGGGGGGGGTGTAAGATTTGGTGTTGAAGAGTGTATGCCTATATGTTTGTTTTTTAACAGCCTGCATATTTATGCCAATTAGAAATAAATTGTGTATGAATGTTATCATGTGTTGTCATTAAGTTAGGAATGTGTGGTATGAATGTTTAAACATTGTTATCCATGTCTGTGTGATTGCTTGCATGTGTGTATGCGTGCATGCTCATGCGCCAGCTTGAGATGTCATATTTCCATGTTTATACCACAGAGTGACAAATATACATGATGATAACTTATAACTGTCACAGGAACTCCATATGTTTGTCGAGGAGCGACTATGCTTGAAGCTGACTGGTCGGTGCTCTGGTCCAATCCTGCGCAGCCTCGACCATTTGCAGGCTCATTTTGCAGGTGGAGTCAGGGCCCATAATCTTGCTTGTTTTTGACTCAGAGACTTACCTCCCAGATGTTGTGGTTGTTGTTAGTATTCAGAGTGTGTGAAACATCAGTAGCTGCCGTTTGCTGTCTGGTTGCTAGGCTAGCTGCAGACATTTGTTGTCTGGTCTACTGTCTGCTTGCTAAGTTAGCTACAGTCATTTGCTGTCTGGTCTACTGTCTAGTTGCTAAGTTAGCTACAGTCATTTGCTGTCTGGTCTACTGTCTAGTTGCTAAGTTAGCTACAGTCATTTGCTGTCTGGTCTACTGTCTAGTTGCTAAGTTAGATACAGTCATTTGCTGTCTGGTCTACTGTTTAGTTCTAGGTTAAATACTCTCATTTGCTGTCTGGTTGCTAGGTTAGCTACAGACCTTTGCTATTTGATCTACTGTCTAGTTAGAAGTTAGTTGCATATCCTTTACAGGACATTGCAGAACCAACCCTAGCATTTTTTGGCTGTTGTGGTTTTTCTAGACACATTTACGTCTGGTAGTTTGCCATTGCTTTCTGGATGGTCAGCATCTCGATACCAGTGTCAAAACCAACGCAAGATGCAGGTCCCGCAGTTGGGATCAAACCCGGCACCACAGCATTACGAAGCACATTTGCAACACCTAAGCCACAGATGCAGGGTGTCTAGTTGCTAGGTTAAATACAGACATTTGTTATCTGGTCTACTGTCTAGTTGCTAGGTTAAATACAGACATTTGTTATCTGGTCTACTGTCTAGTTGCTAGGTTAAATACAGACATTTGTTATCTGGTCTACTGTCTAGTTGCTAGGTTAAATACAGACATTTTGGTCTACTGTCTCTGGGTCTACCTGTCTAGTTGCTAGGTTAAATACAGACATTTGCTATCTAGGGTCTACTGTCTAGTTGCTAGGTTAAATACAGACATATTGTCTATCTGCTAGGTCTACTGTCCTAGTTGCTAGGTTAAATACAGACATTTGTTATCTGGTCTACTGTCTAGTTGCTACCTTGTTATCTGGTCTAGTTGCTAGGTTAAATACAGACATTTGCTATCTGGGTCTGCCTTGCCTAGTTGCTAGGTTAAATACAGACATTTGCTATCTGGGTCTGCCTTGCCTAGTTGCTAGGTTAAATACAGACATTTGCTATCTGGGTCTACCTTGCCTAGTTGCTAGGTTAAATACAGACATTTGCTATCTGGGTCTACCTTGCCTAGTTGCCGTGTTAGCTACAAATATTTTATATTTGGATCTAGTATCATGTGCCAGATCTGCCCCTAACATAGATAGGGTACTACTGTAATTATTTACTTTCACTGTCTGACAACAGTTGAATAATCTGTGTCAACCGGGTCTGGATTCCTGTCATGTGGATATTGCAGGGTCAGATAACGTAGGGGCTATTTGGTGTGACAACCTTACATAAATCATTTCTTTCATGGATTACTAAATACACATAAATATACAGAGACAGGACACCTAGGCAGAAAACTTGTCTTGGTCAGAGTAATGTCCCTCGGAGACTCTTGCAAAGTTTGGCTGTTCATACTTTAAAAAAAATTTCTGCAGAAGAATGATTGTGCTAGTTAAGTATTGGACGTGATAATTCAGGCGGCAAATGGCAGATGTGTTGTCACTGGTTGTTTGATTGCTGCAGCACTTGTGTGATTATTTGTTTCTGTGCTCGTAGATGGTAGTTCTACATCTTAGCTGCTTCCTGTTACTGACATACTTTGTCATGGTGTTCTCTTGGCCATTGAAGCATGCGCAGATAAAGGGGCACAATCCTACTTCCTGTTGTGTATTTACTGTTTACTAAATATTGTATTCCCTGTTTTCTGCAAGCCAGTATCACAGTGTTTCCACTTGTGGGAAATGGAGAGAAAAGAAGATAAAATCTTAGAAAGACACAGATGTACCTACACTAAAGGGCCTGAAGTCGTAGGAGTGAACAGACAAATGAATTTAAAAAAGAAATGTGTGTTAAAAGTGATAATAATAATTGTACTGACTTGCCCATCTTCCATTCTTGCTATTATTTTAGCAGTTATATAAGCCATTGATAGGTAGTTTCACCAGTTATGTAAGCCATTGATAGGTAGTTTCAACAGTTATGTAAGCCATTGATAGGTAGTTTCAACAGTTATGTAAGCCATTAATAGGTAGTTTCAACAGTTATGTAAGCCATTAATAGGTAGTTTCAACAGTTATGTAAGCCATTAATAGGTAGTTTCAATAGTTATGTAAGTCATTGATAGGTAGTTTCAACATTTATGTAAGCCATTGATAGGTAGTTTCAACAGTTATGTAAGCCATTGATAGGTAGTTTCAACAGTTATATAAGCCATTAATAGGTAGTTTCAACAGTTATGTAAGCCATTAATAGGTAGTTTCAACAGTTATGTAAGCCATTAATAGGTAGTTTCAACAGTTATGTAAGCCATTAATAGGTAGTTTCAATAGTTATGTAAGCCATTGATAGGTAGTTTCAACATTTATGTAAGCCATTGATAGGTAGTTTCAACAGTTATGTAAGCCATTGATAGGTAGTTTCAACAGTTATGTAAGCCATTGATAGGTAGTTTCAATAGTTATGTAAGCCATTGATAGGTAGTTTCAACAGTTATGTAAGCCATTAATAGGTAGTTTCAACAGTTATGTAAGCCATTAATAGGTAGTTTCAAAATTTATGTAAGCCATTGATAGGTAGTTTCAACAGTTATGTAAGCCATTGATAGGTAGTTTCAACAGTTATATAAGCCATTAATAGGTAGTTTCAACAGTTATGTAAGCCATTAATAGGTAGTTTCAACAGTTATGTAAGCCATTAATAGGTAGTTTCAACAGTTATGTAAGCCATTAATAGGTAGTTTCAATAGTTATGTAAGCCATTGATAGGTAGTTTCAACATTTATGTAAGCCATTAATAGGTAGTTTCAACAGTTATGTAAGCCATTAATAGGTAGTTTCAACAGTTATGTAAGCCATTAATAGGTAGTTTCAACAGTTATGTAAGCCATTAATAGGTAGTTTCAATAGTTATGTAAGCCATTGACAATAGTTTCAACAGTTAAAGCCATTGATAGGTAGTTTCAATAGGATTAAGCCGTTAATAGGTAGTTTCAACAGTTATGTAAGCCATTGATAGGTAGTTTCAACAGTTATGTAAGCCATTGATAGGTAGTTTCAACAGTTATGTAAGCCGTTAATAGGTAGTTTCAACAGTTATGTAAGCCATTAATAGGTAGTTTCAACATTTATGTAAGCCATTGATAGGTAGTTTCAACAGTTATGTGAGCCATTGATAGGTAGTTTCAATAGTTATGTAAGCCATTGATAGGTAGTTTCAACAGTTATGTAAGCCATTAATAGGTAGTTTCAACAGTTATGTAAGCCATTGATAGGTAGTTTCAATAGTTATGTAAGCCATTGATAGGTAGTTTCAACAGTTATGTAAGCCATTAATAGGTAGTTTCAACATTTATGTAAGCCATTAATAGGTAGTTTCAACAGTTATGTGAGCCATTGATAGGTAGTTTCAACAGTTATGTGAGCCATTAATAGGTAGTTTCAACAGTTATGTAAGCCATTAATAGGTAGTTTCAACAGTTATGTAAGCCATTAATAGGTAGTTTCAACAGTTATGTAAGCCATTAATAGGTAGTTTCAACAGTTATGTAAGCCATTAATAGGTAGTTTCAGTAGTTATGTAAGCCATTAATAGGTAGTTTCAATAGTTATGTGAGCCATTAATAGGTAGTTTCAACAGTTATGTAAGCCATTAATAGGTAGTTTCAACAGTTATGTAAGCCATTAATAGGTAGTTTCAACAGTTATGTAAGCCATTAATAGGTAGTTTCAACAGTTATGTAAGCCATTAATAGGTAGTTTCAATAGTTATGTAAGCCATTGATAGATAGTTTCAACAGTTATGTAAGCCATTGATAGGTAGTTTCAATAGTTATGTAAGCCGTTAATAGGTAGTTTCAACAGTTATGTAAGCCATTGATAGGTAGTTTCAACAGTTATGTAAGCCATTGATAGGTAGTTTCAACAGTTATGTAAGCCGTTAATAGGTAGTTTCAACAGTTATGTAAGCCATTGATAGGTAGTTTCAACATTTATGTAGCCATTGATAGTAGTTTCAACAGTTATGTA